TGACTCTTCTTGATAATGAAAATTGCATAATTCTAGAATATTTTGAACATCGTCCATATATAGAGCTAGTGAACACGATTTCTTCTGGATAGGCTTCAAATTAGAATACACATTTTGAGATTGAGAATCATATTTTTCATTCATTTCGTATTCATCTCTGGTTAGTTCGAAATAAAAGGAACTCTCTTCATTTAGACCAATGTATTTTTGAGGATTATTTAGTATGATTGATTGGTTGTCCCGCTGTTGTTTGAGGTTCAAATCACGCGGTATAGGCACCGAGTGAGTTTCCGCATAATATAGAGAATATTAATATCCCGTAGCAGAAATAGGTATTTCAATCATTACATATAAATAGCTTTTTGTGCGCGAGTAAGATACAATTTGCTCTTTAAAGAAATACCGAAGTGCAGATTCAGTTACTTTAAAGTTCGGAAATTGTAATGACAATTTATTTTTAACCTTATCCAGCGCTTTCTTTAGATCATTAGCCGAAATGAGATCCGGCGATAAACGTCCAGTATTAGCCATTTTAATCGCCAGCACGTGTCTGTGATACCATGATTCCGCAAATTTCAAATTATATATTACTTGACTTAGGTATTTAAAGTACGCTGTCATCAATCCCGTAGTTTTATCAATACTGATTTTTAATCTTCGAATATTCATCTCATCAAGTTGTAGCCTAATATCCGTATTATTTATGTAATTCAACAATTGATTAATGGATTCGTGATTCTGATTTATCATAGAGAACATATTAGTAGAGCGGTTTTCCGACAATTCCATGAAGTCATGCAATTCATTCTCAAATTGGTTAAATCGGACGGCTGATTTGTTTCCAAAAGTTTCCAAATATTTGACATGAGAAGCCAATATTTTAAATTTATCCATACTCACTAAACCAAATATTGATGAGACTAGGTTACCTATAGGTTGCAACAGAGCGGCTCTCTTGTTTTTGAGTTCTGTAATGAGTTAGGCAACAGCGCTTCGAGATTATTTTGATACGCTAAAATTTTCTCAGTCAACGTTTTCATAACATCGCGCATTTGTTCACACGTACCGATATGCAATATGCCTTCGGGGTTACACGTTAAATCTATTGGTTGCTCAATAGCCTTAATCGACGGCAATGTTTCCATTTAAAATGTAAGATGAAATGAATCCGATTCCGCCAAATGGTTATTGAACCCAATCACCCGTGACGGTTACGTGATTGTAGTTTAATTATTCCGGGATCTTGTAGGTTTCCGGTACTCACAGGTATCTCATCTCAATAACGATTAACAAATGCTGTTGTAAATTGTTTGTTCTTTATTTATGTCTTCATCTGCAACCTGGATTCACAATCTTAGACGTCTTTGAGACAATTCTTCCTTCTAAGAGTTGTTGTATTCTCAGCTCAAGAGTATTCGTGAAGGTGATCCCGTATTAGAACATCAGATTGTGCGATCCAAAATATGAATTTAGAGTATAGTAGTTGTGATCCAAATGTTGAATGTCTGATTGTGAATCCGTGGTTGCTTATATACAAGTAGAATTACATAAATCATTCTGTCAGGATTGCGCAATAACAGGCAAAAATCGCCCACGCATATTGCATCAGAAACCTGTTCAAAACCCGCTAAAAGTGGTTACTGATATATTAGTTCCACCTGACAGAATAAGCTTAAAATAGAATCTTGTACAATAATTAGCTCAACCGGTTTAAACTAGTATCAAGTTATCAAGTACAATCTCAGGTGTCAATCAAATATTGGAGAGGTTAAGCTACCGTATAAAATCCAAAACGCAACTTAAACGTATCAATCGGCCCTATACAAATACATGTAGAGTCCACACATAAATAGCCGTTCAGCTCTAGTGTTTGTTTAGACTACACCATAGCTTGTAATGATTACATAGTATCCCATTGATGAAGTTCAATAGCTGGTTTTCTAATACATATCTTAAACGAGCTCGTTTCGTAAGATTATTGGAGTTAAATCATGCGTAACATACATCATCTTCTTCAGAAAGAATTATACTCTGCATCGAAATCAAAATTGCAAGGATAGTATTCAACAGACATGAGTATAATGATTCCCGTTGATAGCAACGTGAAATTTCTAAATCTCCCGTTCTAAACACGCAACTTTGAAGTTGAACGGGTATCTGAAGTAGACTAAAGCGATACAATCCTATGTTGATTCAATGTACTTTGCGTTTACGTATACGTTTTGAAAAACCGTATTTGCTTAACCTCTCCATTAACTCCATCGACTGCTACCTGGTTGAACCAACATAATACAAAATAGTAACAATTACTATCAGATTCTTTACAATATTGGTATAAATATCAATGATATCAAAATAAATATCAATGATATTAAATAATATAATCAATTAATTAATTAACTAATTAATGTCAAAAAGTGAGTGGTAACAACCACCCCTCCTTAACTTTTAATGCCCCACTAAAATATGTCATTATCATATAAATCAATTGTCTGATATGGCATATAAAATGTCTGATATCCTCTTCATTTAGGCTGTATTGTAGAGCATCTCTCTTTCGGCTGCGCTATAGAGCGTCTCTTGATATATGTGCAATCAATTCTGCTTTCAGCGTTCATATATCAATCGTTGTATATTGACGGTAATTATATATCACTGTTTCAGCGTTTATATATTTATGTCATTCTGCATCATAATAATAAAGTCTCGCTTGGCTGTTAATATTCTGCATCATCCGCAAATCTAGGCATTTATTAACGTCTCTAGATTCACCTCTGTATTCTCCTTAGCGTTCGTGAAATAGGCACTATAATAGCTGGTGTCTCTATATTCACAAGTTTCATAAATTCTCTCCTTAGCGTTCGTGAAATAGGCACAAATAACTGGTGTCTCTATATTCACAAGTTTAATAAATTCTCTCCTAAGCGTTCGTGAAATAGGCACAAATAACTGGTGTCTCTATATTCACATGTATTATCCCCATTGTATAGATGTCGTTGGGTATATACTGCACTGGAGAACGTCCATATATATTATATAACCCAAACGGAAATCCAGTTTAACGCAAATTTCCATACATCAGCTGCTAGATGAATATTGCAGTGACATCTATCGTCATCGCCATCTTCTCCTAGGTATCACGGATCATCGGCATCAGATCAGATCAGATCATTTGCAGATTAATATAATTATATATTTCACACGAATTAGTATTTTTATTTTATTTTCTTATTGTATTAGTAATTTTTATTAGATTATAATATAATAATATTATAAATGATATCATGCAACTATGTGACATGATGCATTATCATTTGTACATCCTCATCTTGCAACCTTAACTTCTCAACTTATCACTTATCATCTTAAAACTTATTACGCCATCTATAAATGATGATCTTTAACTTTCAATATATGCACTTACAAAGCATCTCAGTTATGGTGCTCGAGGTAGTTTGTGTATATTATGCAAAATATATTTATTAGTGTATTATAGTATACACACATAATATTAATTGATTATATAGATTATATAGTAAATATAATAGTTAATAGACCAGATTATTATTTACATCTTCGCATATTGATCAATTAATTATTTACACCTGTTCTCTTATCTCAAATTACCAGGAGATGTGCATTAAAATGTTAGCGAATTGAGTGGGTCTCTTCTGTGCATCGGACTGTATCTCCCCGAGATTCAAGTCCACTAACGCTGCTGACCCAAATATTAAAAGCATTAGTTGTTATATATATCTTAAAGCAATGGACCCCACATCTCCCATATACAGCATACACACCTATTCATGAACATCCTCACTTTACACAAAGATCATTAATCATACTACATTGGATCAGAGCTCAACTTAACCCGGGCAAAAATGTGTTTCCCCTTTATAAGTGTCACCGGCCAAGCGTGACCGATAATCATTCAGGGCTGTATCCAGGATCTTGTGGGTCTCTGGTACGCACAGGTCGCCGCTATTAATCAACTAACGCAGTAGGTGTTGTGTTCCTTATAATTTTATTTTCCGATCCTTGCTCTTGGTTCCATGTGCCTAAGTCCGAGTTGCAGCCGAATATTTTGTAAGTCCAAAATGTTGCCAAAATTCTCTAAGTCCAAAATGAGCGAATATTTCCTAAGTCCATTTTGTTTTAGCTTCCTTCCGTGGTTTTGTTAGCGTTTGATTAATTCCAATTTTCGAGTATCCTGACTGCAATTCGGCACTTGTTTATATACAGGTAGAGCTACATTGATCATTCTGTCAAAATATTGCTTATATTTGCTATAATTTGGGCTTAAATTACGCTTAGCTTGCAGATATTTGAAATTGTATTTAGATTTTGATTGGATAATAATAAACATCAATATTATATTTTTTACAGAAAATCGTGTTTTGTTGCTATAAATACATAACCAGTTCCAACCTGTTGCAGGTGAAACAGTACATTCTATTGCTATAAATCATTTAGGTTATGTTAAGTTCTAGACAGAAGATCTTACATCGAGATAATTGTATTACTCATACCTGTAGACACTTGGATTATTATTACATTAATTTATATAAATTATTAATTGATTACTTAATTATAATTACTAATTAATCTGAAAAGCGGGTTGTAACAACCCCCCACACTTGAACTACAGACGACTCGTCTGTGGTTTAAAATTGAAATTTTAAGATAACTTTGTTTTATGGATTCACATATTCTGTACACAACTACATTCCGGTCGCGCAACAACCCATTAGGTTGACATGAGCCTGGTTCCGATGAATGTAGTGAAAGACCAGGATGACTTTCATACTCAAGAGTTCATAACATTTGAATTTTGAATTCTAACGTCCAAAGAAAGGTCTTTGTGTCTGTGCGTCTTGGAATAAGTGGAACAGCATTTCATCATCAACAGCAGGATCACTTGATCATCCCTCACTAGATAGTTGAGCACGATCAGCATAATCGTATTATATATTAATTATATTAAACAATCACACTTTCATGAATATATATATTGATGATGATGATGATGATGATATGTACAATGTATAATTATACGCCTTATTTCATAGATGTCACTGTTTAATCCTTTAAATCCCCGACATCTACCATACCCTTTGGTACACTTCATCTTGTTTGACTCGCTTACTCAATATGATATATGGTTAAATACGATTATATGTGATTATCCCAACGAACGAAGTTCGTTAGGGATATAGTGAAGCCCTCCGTCCGTCTGTCTGTCCGTCAGTCCGTCAGTCAGTCAGTCAGTCCGTCTGTCCGGAAGATAACTCAAATACTAGTTGACAGATTTTCTTCATATTTAGTTGAAAGATGTATATTGGTGGAAAGTTTTGCGCAAAAAAAGATTTTTTCAAGATGGCCGCCGCTTTAAAAATGACGGAACTTTTTCGCAAAAATCATAAATTTTTCATTATAAACCAAAGTAATTAATATTATTGTTTGAAATTTTAGTAGTGTATTACCAACATTTATCTATTTCACATATATTCCGTGTTTTTCATCCTGACCCCCAAGGGCCATGTATGGGGGGACAGGAAAACAGAAATTTTCGCTAATTTTTAGATCTTTCTGAAGTATAGCTTTATTATACTCAAATGAAAGGCAATTAAGAGTAGATTGCAAATATTGTATCTTTTTTCTGATTCGAGCCTCGTAAAATTCAAAATGGCCGTCTAATGTACGATTTCGCAATAATTTTTCGATCCCTTCAAAGTATGGCTATATTATACTCAAATTGAAGGAATTTTGGAGTAGATCACAATTATGGTATTATTTTTCAGATTTGTACCTCAGAAAATTCAAAATGGCTGCTTTGCAGGAATTCGCAATTCAAAAATCTAATTTTTTCATTTTCAACCAAAGTAATGAGTATAATTGATTGGAATTCGGTAATTGATATTTTGTTCGTTGGGATTTGCTACTCCGCGGAGTTGCCGTTATCTAGTTATATAGTGGTTAAATATATGTGAATAAATATATTCAGATCAATTGATTATTTACACCTTAATCAATCAATCAATCAGTTAATAAATACGAATAAATAGGTTTTAGATCAGTTGAATATTTACATCTTAATCAATATGGATTAAGCGACTAGAGGAAGAGTCTCTTCTTCGTACTGAGTTGTTTCCCCCGAAGGGTATCGACTTTCAAACTCGCTTGTACTGCGAACTCATGTTATAAGCATTAATGGAGGGGTATCACCTACAAGCATCGAGACTGAGTTTAATATATTTAACTCTTCTCCACAAGTGTAGACTACGCCATCTTTACATTGTGTCGATTTAGGTAAATTTTTTAAAATTACGTCAGTTAGGGGATATCGTGATACTTCAGAGACCAACACCTAGATTTTGGGACTCCTACCAGGTTACTTGTCACTTGGAGAGTGTTATTTATCATAAAAGCTGAGAAGGTAAGATCTTAATCAGAGATGAGACCTACTTTTTAGTTACAATTTTTATTTTATTTCATTATTATCATTTATTTTTTTTTTCTTCTATTATTCCGGATAACTAAGTGGATTTTCCAGATAACCAACAACTACATCTTCTTTTAAATAAATCACAAACAAAGTATTTATGAGTCACATGATTTTTTTTCCTTTCTTCTTTAATTTAGTTTTCTAATAAACAATAGTTCGCTCTTCTCTTTCTTTCAGGTTACCAAAATTATTGTTACTGGTTCATATCTTTTCAAGTCTAAATCAATTTTGTCCCATTTTCTCTCTTTTAGTTATATGTAATGTCGCTAGTCTTTACGGTATCGTATGCATACACATGCGTCGAATCTGTAGTAACTGTCCTCTTCTTAGGAGGTTCTTCAACCGCATATTGTCAACCTCTGGAGCCCTTTTCCCTGGGGTTGCCTCTTGTTTTACATCAGTTTGTGTGCTAGCCTCTTTGAAGATGGGACCTTTCAATTGGGCCTGCGCCACTGAAATAAAGACAAATGCCATTGGTTAAATCCCAGTTCTTTCTCTAGGGACTAGGACATATATCCCCCTTTCAGTTTTACAATAAAACCGGATTACATATGGTTCTGAGAGTAGTTGGGATATCACCGTCCTGTTTACATATGGCAGAGGGACTAGTCTAGGCAATTCCAAACTCATTTCTTGATCATCCAATAAAAATTTGATCGCTCCCCATTCTATATCCAAATAACTTTTAAACAAAGTATGGCAGGCGCTGACCCTGGATATCACTCCCCTCTGTACTAATTGAACTCTGGCGTAGTCTACCTGTAACTGGTGTACACATGCTTGCACACGATGATTAACAGAATTCAATTCAATTATTAATTTAACCCCGTTACTTTCTACCTTTCTTTGAATATACTTTTTAAAGAAACTACAACTTAGTATAGCGAATCTCACTAGCACATATCCAGTGAGAACGGTTAACATTACTAAGTTCCATATGTTTACAATTTTGAGATGGTCATAGTAACCTGCACTTGAGGTATAGCTTTCACTTTTAACAACTGGCACAGTTCCAAAATTCCGCGCTTCGGCTTTTCCGACATTTAAGGCCGCTATTATTAGTAAGATCTTGCGTATGCGATACATAGCTATCAAACCTATCCCAATGGCGACTAGGGTCAATACTGAGGCGCAATATAATAGTATCTGATTCATGTTAATACCTTAGCTTTTTGATCTGTCCTAAGATAACTGTTCCATTGATGCTCATAAATTGTAAAGTTAGGCTGCTTTGCACGTGATTCTACCGCATCGAAAGTTTCCCCTGATAAATCTTTGACACTCTCTTTTCCAAAGAGGTAATGTACATAAGGTATATTGATAGGATACGAATAATTGAGCGTTAATACGTTTTCATCGCACCCAATTCTCTCCGGTATATAAATATTTCCAATTAATAAATCGCATTCGCACAGCAATTGAACTTTGCATAATTGGCAACTAGGCACTTGTACTGATGGTTTGCCAGAACATTTCATATAATATGCCATTCTCCAGATTTAAGAGATGAAATCAGCAATTCATTTCTATTAACTTCGAGTATTTTCACATCTTGTTGGTGATCAATTACATAATGAAATTTACATAATTTCATTATTTGGTCCATGTTGTCTTCAAATAATGCCGCTAAACAAGTAAATTTTGACCTTGGCCTTAAATTCAAGACTTGAGCAGTATCATCGTAACTTTGTTGACATGACCTGTACTCACTCTGACTCATTTCTAAGAAATAGTCGCGCTGTTTGCTTATTCCGAAAAACTTATTCATATCTTCAAGGATCACGGAATGATTTTTCTCGTCATTTGTCTCGCCTAAATTTTTAGGTAATGGTATATCGAAAGTATCTACTTCATATAAATTAAAAACCAAATCTATTGAAGTGACAGGGATTTTGAGAGTTATATATATTTGATCCTTCACATATATTCCCGAGGTCAATCTTGTGGTATAATAATATCGCACGTCTTCGCGTAACATGTGAAACTCGGGGTAATTTTCTTTTAATTTTGATTTTACTTGACCCAAAGCTTGACCAAGCACTTCGGCATTAATTAGTTCAGGAGTCAAATATCCCGCATTAATTCGTTCTAGAGCCATCACTAGACGATATGACTCAATTTCGGCCAATTGTAAATTGAATAAAAGTTCTGACATATATTTGAACATAGCCGTGGTAGTTCCAGCTAAATTGTTTACTTTATAGTCAATTTCGGCAATACTTTTGGACCTTTTTCCCAATTCGACATTCACATTATTAATGTAATTCCCTAATTGTTCAAGAGATAAATGATTGTTTCGCACCATGTTAAGTACATCACCTGTTCTATTATTTGCCAATATCATAAAACCATGCAATTCACTCTGAAGAGTGTTTAATTTTCCCGCCGAAAGATTTCCAAATTGTTCTAGACGGGAGACATGCATTCTCATTTGATTCATTTGGTCTTCAGATGCCAGACACAAGAAACCTCCAAATAATTTACCTATGGGAGCCAATAACGCGCTTCTTTTTGAAAATTCGCGCTGGGAAGTTGTACGCGACGGCATCAACATTTTCAGATTACTTTTGTGTTTATTAATTTTATCTATTATATTTCTCAAAACCGCTCGCATTTGTGAGCATGTATGATTATGGATAAATCCATTCATATCACATTTTCGATTAGCATGCCATAATATCTCATCGGGAATCATGAGTGAAATATTCACGCCGAAAGTCAAGTGAAAGCTACTACCTGTTCGCACACATGTTCCATCTACGGATTTAAAATTAACTCCATAATTTTGCCGTAATTCTCCGGCATTTACGCCATTTCCAGTAAATCCCAATACTCCCAATATAAAGAAGATAGTGACGTGTTCCATTGTTAAATCGGATGTCTCAAAAATTTCCCACTCACTCTTTTTGATTCCGATAAGTTTTCCTTAGTGGTATCGTATATTTTCTGTACAACTGTACCGTAGGTTATTTTCTGGAACAGAGAAAGCTTAACTTGTCTACATAGGACCAAATGATCCCCCTTCTGGAGAGGAGGGGCCACAACGTCCAATGGTGTAAGTTTTTACATTTTGGTACTTGTCATTACCCCCGTTTGATCCTTATCTCCACCCCTTATTCCTAAAAAGGTTACTTTAATTAATTGATTATGTCATTCTAAATGAATGAAGTATGGGAAACCCTTCGTGTTTTTTCTAAACTTGTAACATTTTTTTGTTTATTTGTTCTTCCTTATGTTTCTTGATATATAGCTACTTTAACGCCATATCCTTCGGGCAGTTATGCAAAGCTTTGCATCACCCGGAATCCCTCACCATCTGAGGTGATTCTCCCAGTTTCTCGCTTTTCCTCCCCATTTATTTTATCAATATATTTGTATCATTTTACATCAAATTTTCTATCGGGATTTCCCCATTTTCTCTACAACCCCTCCCATTGACATTTCCTAGTCAAGGACCACATGAAACCCCCAACTTGATCAGGGTCTAGGATTTCATAGAGATGTTATCATTGATCTACTTTTTGCAGCGCTGAGTTACCAGCAATGGAATGTGACCTTTTCCCTCATTGTCTCATTGCCAGAGCCAGCTTGGAACAGCTGTTATATTCAGTCTAAAACCAAACACTGCAACAACTTGTTTTGGTCATGAGATTACAAAGGAGGAGTCTCAGTAAAGATTGGATACTGCCTTGCGCACAAACAGCATCACAGGGGTAGTTCCCGTGGATCCGCTAACGTCTTATACATAATAACTCTTATAGGCTTACTTCATATGCTTATCCTTATTTGGGGCTCATTATATATACAATTTCCTTTATTCATCTATTTCTACGTAGTTCATAATAACTTCTATTTCTCTCACTTACGGCTCAGACTTATTGAGCTTCTTATAATTCTTCAAATAGCATCTTTTTCCCATCATCGGGACTGGATGCTGACTGAGTTCTTCCCTCAATTGGGGGGTAAGATTACTCAGCGGTTCCCACGTAGGGGTTTCATAATTTTCCCACTTAAGGTAATATTCGGGCTCAGTTTGCCCTTTTCTATATCTTCCTTTTAATACTTTTTCTACCATGTAGTACTCATCCTCTTCTTTTTCTATTTCTTCTGGTGCTTGTTCTTTGTTGTTTTTATTTGCAGTTTGAATCTGCTCTTCATCATTTTCTTTGTTCTCTTCATCATTTACAGTGGGCTGAGCCTCTTCATTATCGAAGCATTCTTCGGGTAACTCATCAGCGTCAATGAGTGGGTCAAAAATCTGAGTAGGGTCATAATTTTCCGGAAGTTCCTCATTAGGGACCCTGTTGATCCTTTCTTCAACTCGTTTTAGTCTTCGTACGTTGACAGGTGTTTTCATTAATTTCCCGTCGCATATTCTCTTTATGACGAATACATTATTTGCTTCATTTAGGGAGGCATATAGAGTATAGGGACCTGTCCAAAGGCTCATCAATTTTCTCGACTTAAGACCTTTGACGGCAATCTTTGGTTTGTAAAGCATTACACGATCACCTACCTAGAAAGGTTTGGAGAGCCCTTCTCGGACTCTTTTCCTGATCATTTTCTCTTGTTCTGCCTTTAAGTTGGCCTGCACTACTTTACTGGTTGTAGCTATTCGTTTACAAATGGTTTCGACATGCTCTTGGACCGAATCAGACTTAGCACTAATATTTACATCCAACACTGAATCAAATGGAAGGAACGGTTCCCTACCATACAATACAAAATGTGGACTGTAGCCGTGTACTGTTTTGGTAGTCCTATAACTAGCCAAAGCCGCTGACAGGAGGACATCCCAGTCGCGGTGGTCATTTGTCAAGGTGGCTAAAGAGGCCATTAGGGTCGAGTTGAATCTCTCACACTGACCTGTTGTCTGCGGCGAATATGGACTACTTTTGAGCCTTTTTATTGAAAATTTTGCACATAAATGACTCACTAGCTCGGACAGGAAGTCGGTCCCTCTATCTGATGATCTAGTGAGTGGAGTTCCATGCCGACAAATGATTTCGTCAAACAATAACCGAGCTATGGTAGTGGCTTTAATGTCTGGGACAGCAAAAGCCTCTGGAAATTTGGATAGGCGGTCTACAAACACTACTATATACTTGTTTGATTGTCTTGTCTTTAATAAAGGACCCAAACAATCCATTTCCAACCAACCAAAAGCGGAATCGACCAAAGGAAGAGGCAACATTTGACCTCTAGTGTACCTAGTAGGGCGCTTTCTACATTGACAATCTGGACAAGATTTCACCCAATTATGGCAGTCTTTGACCAATGATCCCCAATAAAACCGACTTCTGACTAAGTCAATCAACCTGTGTATTCCTGTATGTCCTGCTGTGGTTTGGTCATGGTATTGAGTTAAAACTTCATCAATTAACATTTTTGGAATAGCCAATTGCTGTCGACATCTTGATTCTTTAGTTCCCGGCCCAGAAGGAAACCAAAGGTGATATAACAAGTCATTGGTATATAAAAAATCACCGGCAGACAAAAGCACTTTTCTTGCATCTTTGTCATTTCCAGGTAGTCTCCGGAATTTCAAATAATTTATCATCTGAAAGAGTTCAGGATCTTCTTTCTGCATCTGAGCTACTTTATCTAAACCTAATTCATGAATTCCTTGTTGTTCTTTTACAATTGCCAGTAGATCCGTCACATGTGACAGGTCCTCTGCTTCTGGTTCTTCTTCATATTCTCTTCTACTTAGGAAATCAGCATTGTTGTTCACTCTACCAGGGCGATGTTGCACATCAAAATGATATCTTTGTAAGTGCATGGCCCATCGAGCTAATCTTCCAGTTGGCTCTTTCATGGCAAGTAGCCATTTGAGAGACCTGTTGTCAGTGACAACAGTAAATTTACTAAATCTCAAATAATTGTCGAATTTCTTTGTAGCAAATATCACTGCTAATGCTTCGAGTTCGTGAACAGGGTAGCGTTTTTCAGCCTGGGTTAAACCCCTTCCATTATAGGCTATAGGCTTCTCTACCCCATCAATAGTTTGAGATAGTACTGCTCCCAAACCTGAGAGGCTTGCATCCGTCATTAAATGAAACGGATGGTCAAAATTGGGATAACTCAACAATGGTGCTTCTGTGAGTTTCCTTTTCAACAAATCGAACGCCTTTTGGCATTCACTAGACCATACAAATCTCGCATCCTTTTTGGTGAGATCGTATAATGGTCTGGCGATTTTAGAATGATCTTTTATAAATCGCCTGTAATACCCAACAATACCTAGAAAGCTTCGTACATCCCTTATCTTGCAAGGAGTTTTGTACGATAAAATGGCTTTCACATTTTCTTTGGTAGGATACATTCCATCTGGGGTCACATCATGCCCCAAATATCTGACTTTTTTAACAAATAGCTTGGCTTTGGATGGCTTGATTTTCAAACCTGCTTTTACCAGTCTTCCGAGTATTAATTCCAAATGATGTAAATGATCTTCAAATGTTTTTGAAAAGACGCATATGTCATCGATATAAACGACACAACAGTTCCATTGCAGTCCTTTGAGTACTAATTGCATGAGGCGTTGGAATGAACTAGCAGCATTGACTAGTCCTTGTGCCATTCGCTTATACTGGAATAGTCCTTCATGACAAATGAAAGCTGTTTTCTCCCGCGATCCATCATTGGCTAGACTAACCTGATGATATCCACTCATAAGGTCAATGAGTGAAAAATACTTTGGCTGAGCCACACCTAGAAAATCCAAATATTCCGATATAAGAGGGATCGGAAAAGCATCAAATTTGGTGATTTTGTTCAAGCTTCGAAAATCACAACAAAATCTCCATTTTCCATTTGGTTTCGTGACTAAAACAACAGGACTAGCATAAGGGGAATCAGATGGTTCAATTACTCCCTGTTTGAGCATATCTTGGACTTGATCACTTATATCTATTCTCTTTTGAGGGGGTACCCTATAGGGCCTATGACGAAATACTGGAGCATCGTCATGTGTAACTATTTTGTGTTGAATAAGGTCACAATGACCTAGCTTACCAGAATAGTCTACAAAGGCTTCAGAATATTTGTTTAACATTTCTCTTACTCTGTCTTTCTGTGAATCTGTCAAATCTGACTCAGATAAGTCTATATCTACGGGTTCGGATTTTGTGTTATGGGATTTCCTCATACTCTGATCAGGTGATTTATCATTGTCTATGTTTTCTATTCTAGACATTCTGGACAATGGAACAAACGAGCCCACTAGTGAACCTTTATATAAAGTTACTTCATGTTCAAAGGGATTCATTAGTCTCGTAGGTATCATACCCTGCGTTATCGAGACCAATCCTTTGGCTACTCTCACATCCACTCTATTTCGCTCAGCTGTTATTTCTCCTATCAATTTGTCAGGAGGTTGACCTTTGACTTTCGTAAACACTACTAATTCCGACAAGGATGGTATGGAAACGTCTTCATTAATCACTACATCATATTTGCTTCTAGGCATAAGTTTTACTGAATTTGTTCCATATGAAATGATAGCTCTATTTTCAGTTAGAAAATCTTGTCCCAGTATTAGATTTCGGCCGATGTCATCAATTACATATAATTTCACATGTATATTTTTATTCCCAAACCGTATTTTAGTATAAATTTTTCCTCTCATTTTCAGAGGTTGTTTATTCACAGATAAAAGCCGTATATTATGTTCTGGGATTATGTTTGCCTGAGGATTGCATGCTTTCATCAGAAAATCGTAATCAACTACGGACATCTGAGCTCCCGTATCTATTAAACTCCAAGTTTGAGTACCAAATATTTTGATAGAAACTAAATTTTCTTTATACAAATTCTCAGATATCGATAATTCACATACATTTTTAAATTTTGAATTTTTAATTGTCTTTGGCCAAACCCCACTATTCTCAGGCTTTAACTTGTTTGGCCTTGATTGTTTAAAGATTGACCTTGATTAAATGACCTTTGACCCCGGCAATTTTTAGCAATATGCCCCATTTTCCGGCATTTAAAACATTGTAGAGGGCGCTCATTGAATCTGGGCCTTGAGAAAGTAGCCCTACAAAATGGCGCGGAATGCCCTTTCCTGAAACATTTTTGGTAAATTAGGGAACCATTTGAAGAACGGAATGTATTGCTCCCCTCTTTAGGAGTAGCTAATTTAGTCATTTCATCTTTAATTCCTGTGATGAGCTTTTGTTGCTCTTTCACTATTTCAGACAACATCTTTTGAGTGTCTGATTTTGTCTTGTCAACTTCTATTTCATTGTCGACAACATTAAGGCATTCTGCCAGCCGAGCTGCATTCTCGACTTCCTGTACATTTGCAGGTTCTTTTGAAATTACGAATTTGCGGATTTTTGGGAGGAAATTTTTGATTAGGAGCGTTGTGTGTTCACTGTCTCCTATCTGGAGTCTTGATACCATTTTTCTTATGGCGGCCAAGAAATCATCTACTGATTCATTTGGCTTCTGCATTCTAGCCAATAATTGGGCCTGTAAATTCCATTTAGGCCTATTTTCTACGAAAAAGGCCAAGAAAGAATTTTCAAGATCATCAAAATTCTGTTTTGTCTCATCATCTAAATCATTAAACCAATGTTCTGCCTGACCGGTCAAGAACATTCTTAGTGCCTGACATTTCCTGGGTTCATCCCAGCCTTGAAAGTCGGCATATGTAGTGAAACGGCTGAACCAAATTCTGGGATCTAAATCAGAATTATTTCCATCAAAGGAAACCAACCGTATCTTGGAATCGAGGTTACCTTGGCCCCTCTGTAATTCTAACCTATTCATTCTTTCTAAAAGGTCATCGTGACCATCCCCTTCATTGACTAGTTGATTTAACCTTTCTTGTAAATTTTGTAACCTATTCTCTAAACCTTCCATCCTAACAGCTGCACCTCTAGTTATCATTAATAATAGTTGAAACACGAAGGAATTCCCATCACTTTACCTCTATGAATTATTATCGACCTGCTTTCCAACCACCCACTAATAGTATCTGTCTAAATAGATGAATGACGTGAAGGTGTTAACTGATATGAACGTAACCTAAACTACTGTAAAGCATTCTGCTTTCATGCATATTAATTTTGGTTAGATACTTACAATTTATTGAAGTCTTGCGTCGAAATTCGATTCCTTCTTGTCACGCTCGAGTGATTAAGTACCCGGCAGCTCCACCACTTTTTGTCACCGGCCAAGCGTGACCGATAATCATTCAGGGCTGTATCCAGGATCTTGTGGGTCTCTGGTACTCACAGGTCGCCGCTATTAATCAACTAACGCAGTAGGTGTTGTGTTCCTTATAATTTTATTTTCCGATCCTTGCTCTTGGTTCCATGTGCCTAAGTCCGAGTTGCAGCCGAATAT